AAAATAATAAAAGAAAAATCGCTGAGAACAATACAAAACGTTATTGCTAGACGATATTTCGTCATATATACTATGAAATTTTCAGGGGTTTAGCAACTTTTGACTAAGATAATGATGGATACCTGAAATTCTTCGGTGCAAACCAACTGATCATATTAGGTGAGTGAACCATTTTGGGCCACCTTCTACGTCCCTCCAAATTCCTCATACACTTGCAGACACCATTTTTTTGTTCTCTTTTTGAAAGAACTGAAGTACAGCTTGTGACGATTGAAAAGGCCTTCTGGGATGAGTTAAATGAATGCAATTTTTTGAACATGACTCATCTTTCTTAATATCCACAACATTTTATGAAGTTTGAAATTTGAATCTTCTAATTATTATTGTTATGATAAACAATCTTCTTGTAATTAATTTTTTTTAAAATAGATTAATCATTAAAAAAAGATTAAACCTCTAATTTGATCCCTCAACTATTGTACAAACTTTGGATTTGGTCCCTAAATTAAAAAAATTTTCAATTTGATCTCCCAACTATTATACGGATCCTTAATTTGGTCATACTATTTACCAATTTGGTCCCAAGTTGATGCTTTCATTAAAAAATAAATGGCATGTTTGTTATTTAATAGTAAAAAATTATTACTTAACTGTTACATGTCACATTAATAATGAAATACGTTATCTATTTTTATATATAATGACCAACTTAAAGTTAAATTGGTAAACAGTAAGGATTAAATCCATGATTTTTTTTTAGTTTAGAGACTAAATCAAAAGTTTATATAATAGTTGAGGGACCAAATTAAAAATTTAACTTTAAAAAAATATAGAAACAAAGAGAGAACATAACCATTAACAATGGTGTCACCTTAAAAATGAAAGTAAAGTCATCCTTTCTCCATTTTCTCTAGAGAAGACAATGGAAAGCCCTACACGATAATATTCTTGTATCCTTGTCTCCTCCACGTTACTTTTTGGGCAAATTTGTCTCCTTCAAAAATCACATCTTATATCTGTTCCAAAATAAAAGTTTCAATCATTTTCATTTTCTTGTGTCAATTTTTTGCTTGGATATTTCCTTGAAATGAAGAAAACCGCACCTCATAATCAAATGTACTGCGGTTTAATAATATAGTTTTCTCCGTTTCTTGAGGGCCACAACTAAATGTATTAAGTTATTAACTCTTACACATGTTATGTTTGTTCCCTCTGTGACTCTGTCTTTTCTAATTGAAATATGTAATGAAGTCTAGGAGCTGATGTGACATGATCAGCATCTTTCTACTTTCTAAATACTGTTGTACAGAAAATTTCGGGTTTTTTTTTTTTCCTTTTTTTAAAGAAAACATTTGATTGCAAATTTTTTTGTTTCCTCTACCCAAATTTACACTAATTTTCGAAATTTTGTTTATTGTGTGCTTCCCCACTTTTGTTTTTGAGCATTAAGAGCATACTATTATTTAAATCTAACTTCTTCGAGAAACCCAGTATATACCTCATGGAAATATTATTAATTATGGTTAAAGATGTCTATTTACGAAATAGCTTTTTTTACTTTATTTATTAAAATTTATTTTTTTTAGTAAATCAATTAGTAAAAACAAAAGATAACTTTTCATCAATTCTTTAGGTTTTATTTATTA